AGGAGACATTCCTGCATTTAAAAACCAGCCAGCCAACATCAGGCTCTTACCTGCAAACCCTCATAGGGAGGCCAGCCCCCAGCCCCAACCCTCAGGCAGGTGTGTGCGAACTCAGAGGACACTGCGCCCCAGAACCAAGTGACTTCATTCTCTTGTTCCCTCTGACAGCTTTCTAACATGCTTTTCTTTTCTGAAACAGGGTTTCCTGCAAGTATAGGCCTCAAACTCTCAGTGTAACCAAGGCTGACCTTGAACTAGCCCTTTTGCCTTGTCACCTAAGTGCTAGGATTACAGGTGTGCACCACAACAGTTGGCTTTATTTTATTATTTTATTATCTATCTATCTATCTATCTATCTATCTATCTATCTATCTATCTACTATTCGGATTTTCAAGTCAGGGTTTTTCTGTGTAGCCCTGGTTGTTCTGGAGCTCACTCTGTAGACCAGGCTGGCTGGCATTAAACTCAGAGATCTGCCTGCCTCTGCCTCCAGAATGCTGGGATTAAAGGCAGGAGCCATCATTACCCATACACAGTGGCATTAAAATACCACCCTCCCTTTTCCACACAGACCTCTTGCTTCTCTCAGGCCCCACTGGCTACTGGGGTTCTGCACCCTAACAAGACACGTGGCCCCTACCTCGGGGCCTTGGGGCTTGCATTTCTTAGAGTTCTTTCACTAGGCAGTTCCAGCTTCTCCACTGCTCTCATCACCCTAAGCTTTTACCCAGCTCACCTTTATGAGATATCAGACTCCCCGCCTTTTTTTTTCACGCCCCACCCCATCCACATAGAAGTACCATAAAACCAGAGAGCCTGGTCCATTCTGTTCTGCATCCTATGCTGACACAGTCCCCAAGACATAGAAGATCATAAATAAGTGTGCGTTTGTTGGCTGATCGACAGGTCAAAGGGGAACCCAGCACTAGCTGGGCAGCTTCCTTCTTCACGCCAGACACTGGCCAGTGCCACTCTGTCAGTCAGTGGAAAGCGGGTGGCCAGAGAGTGACTAAAGACAAACTAAAGACAAAAGAAGACTTTTTTTTTTTGGTCCCAGACCAGACCTTTGGGGCTGGGTAAACCTTCTTGGGTCTCCGACTTCCCCATCAATCATGAGCTTGGTACACTGAAGCCTGTCCCTCCCTTTGGGGGGGGGGGGGCAGTGGGCTACAGAGGTGAGTCCAAGGCCAATTAGAAGGGCACTGGCAGTTAAGGCTGCACACCCCACGGCCTCCTGGCATGAAACCTTGTGTCCTCCCCAAGACCTGTCACTGGAACTATCAGAGTCGCGTCCTTGGTGAGATCGGATTCCTCTCACGTAGCCTGAACTAGAACCTTCTGGAAAACCCATGCCAAGGTCCTTCCCTTCCCCACTCTTCTGTTCTGACAGCAGGAATGCAATGTTCATTTGTGTGCCTATTTACATGGTATCTGCATAGGCAATAAAATTTACATTTCATCTACATATGCCAACCCAAATCCTTGAATAGGCAAAGAAACTAGAAAGGACTGCAGACTTTGTTCTAGATCGTTGTTTAATGTAAGAAAACAGTCCCCCCACACACACACACACCCACTCCTGGACAGTCCTCTTGTTTGTAACCCAAACAAGAAACGCATCTGCTTGGACCCAGCTCTAGGTGCCTCTAGACGTTTCTAACCAGTAACTTCAATCCTGGCCCAAGGTCAGGTCTGGCAGAAGGACCCTTACAGGACCCTTCCTGTAAGCTGACTGTCATGCAAATGACCCCATTTTCACACTCCTGACTGAGAACCCCACAGTTCACCAGGGGAATAGCCTGAGTCAGTTCACAATCTGCCCCAGGCTATTCCCCTGGGCTTCTGACACCTGGTTAAATGGGAGGGGTTGGGGGAAGAATGGGATGGAGACCCTATTAAAGACATCCACCAAGATTTTCCTCTGTAGACAGACAAGGATGGTCTAGGAGCCAGTGGTCTACACAACGGAATCCAGGGATTCCAACCTGGGTGGGGACTTCTGGGGGGCCGCCCCCTCAGAAGAATGGGGTTTCCTCACTAGCATGTGCCTTCTATCCTCCTGAAATGGTAACAGCAGCAATGGCAGCTACACTTGGCCTGCCCTTCCTTCTTAAGGGATGACGGGCCCTGATCGAATGCTTTAACACTCATTCCAGTTAATGCTTGTAACCACCTTGGAGAAGTTAAGAGTCTAAGAGGAACCTCATCCCATCCACAAATGGTGACAACGGGCCTGTAATTCCAGTCTTCTGGGGGCTGAGGCAGACAGGTCATAAGTTCAGGGACAGCCTGAGTTACAGAGTGACGATGACTAGAAGGGAAGAGAGAGGGAAAGGAAGGAAGCCGGTCTGGAAACGCACCACAGGTTCCTAAGTCAATAGGTGGCATACCTGTGGACTCGGCTTCGTGGCCTCAGTTCCTGTGTGCACAGCAATTGTATGCATGGGACCACCAGAAACACTTTGAGGTGCGGGGAGACACCGATGGAGTGAAAAGGGTTGCTTCCATCCCTGCCAGGCATACACGCTTAAGTGCTGGGGGGGCAGAGCTGGTTTATAAGCCACATGCCAGATCATCTTTCTAGAAGCTGGTCACTCAGCCTCACACACACACAGAGACACACACGCACACTAGAATGACACTCAAGGTAGCCCTGTGGCCTGAAGGGTTAGGGCCTGGGCTCTGGAGTCAGAATTCTGGCTGCTTGTTGGTTTGGTCTATTGGAGTTAATGTCCTGCTATGTAATCCTGACTGGCTTGGACTCACCATGTAGACTCTAAAGAGGGTCTTGAACTTTCAGAGATTTCCCTGCTGTAGCTTCCCAAGTGCTGGGATCACACAGGTATGGACCACCACAGCCAGCTAGAATCCTAAGTTTGAACCCTGTCTCTGTGTCTATCTTGGAGGCCTCTGGAAATACAATTGAAGGCTTTGCAAACCTCAGCTTCCTCACTGTGAAGTGTGAAAGGTGCTCACCTCACAGAACTGGGGTTAGGGACAACAAGAGGCTGTGGGAGGGTTCAGAGAGAGGTCACTGCCTCTCTTTGGTCTGCCATTTCCAATAGGCATTTGCTTTCCTTTTCTCCCCAGCCCTCTCACTGTAGGAGGAGAGGCGCCTGGTGTCGTCTCAAGGTCTGGCTAGAGGTAAGAGGTCACAGACTTGGTCTGTCACTCTTGATGGAGCAGTGGAAACCAAGGACAAGGACAAAGAGTGTAGATAAACTGTCCCAAGCCATGCACCATGTCAGGCTGGCAGAAGGATGGAGAAGGAGGGGCCCAGGTTAGAAGGCAAGGGAACCATGCTTGGCTCTGCTAGCCATAGCTGAGTGGCCCTGGAAAAGTCACCTCCACACCCCAATTCCCACCCCAGAGCAGCTGTTCTCACGTTCATAAGACAGGAATTATATAGTCTTTGCCTCACAAGGTGGCTCTGAAGATTGACAAAAGAGCAGGTGGGCAGTCGTGAAATCTTCTGCCCCAGGAATTAATGTTATAGAAGAAGCACAGGATCAGCAAGGCTACTCCAGGGTGGAGGGGGTCTTAGCTCAACCCAAGACAGCCCTGGGCTCCCCTTCCAATGCCTTAAGAAACTGAAAGAAAACTTCACGACACAAACAACAGCCAGGTGAGCTGGTGGGAGCCTGTAATCCCAGCACTGAGGCTGGTTTGGGAGGCCAGCCTGCGCTACAGTTAACACAAGGGCAGCCTGGGCCAAACAGTGAGACCCTGTCTCAAAAACCCCAAATAAGTAAAGTTCAAGCTGCCCTACAGAGCCCGGGGCCATGGTGGTGCACGCCTTTAATCCCAGCACTCAGGAGGCAGAGGATCTCCGTGAGTTCGAAGCCAGCCTGATCTAAAGTGAGTTCCAGGACAGCCAGGGCTACACAGAGAAACCCTGTCTTGAAAAACAAAGCAAAACAATGCTTTGTTTTGCCTCTCCTGTCATCATTTCCCAATAGGCAGGCTGTAAATCCCCTGCCTCTGCATCACACCCCATCTCTCTTTGGGGTCCGCTCTGATCCTCTGTTCTCCCTCAAACATCAAGGAACAAACTCCTTTCCGGTGTCCGCGGGAAGTTTCCTGACTCCCCTCGGGCCAGCCTGAAGATGCTTACCAGCACCTGTGACAGGACAGGGTCTTCCCCGAGAGATGAGCGAGATTATATATGCAGCGATGTGTGCATGTCCTCTACCTCCGAGGAGGCCGTGGCAGAGAGAGCAAGTGCTGTGGCGCGTGAGATGACGGCTGAAGCCTGAAGACTGCTCAGCCAAGGCGAGAACAGTTACCTGCAAGGGGGACTAGGCGGCAGCTCCCCTCCAGGGTTCTCTTGGCCTGCGCCCTCTCCACTTACCTGCAGGTAGTTATCCTCGCAGTACCTGGCTACCCGCTGCAGGGCGCTGTGGTTGCCCCGCAGGGCCTCTCGGCCCGTGGGGATATCAAAGTCCTGCAGCTGTTGCAGCTCCAGCTCCGCCATGGCTCAGGCCTCGGTGGGGCTCCCTGGGGAGCCTGCCGGGTTTTTGAGCCTCACCCTGCCCCTGATTGGCCGCTCTGCCTTCCCTCCCTCTCACTGCTTTTGGTTTCCTCTGCGTGAGACCCAAACCTGCCTGCAAAGGGTAGGCATGTTCATGTTCCGGGACAAGAGGAAGTCAGACCCTGGGTTCTGGGCCTGGGCCTCTCTGTCCCCTGCTCGGGGAGAAGGGGGAAGCCAGGGGCCTGCTTGGGGGCTCGGCCACCCAATCTCACCAGGCAAAGGAAGCCAAGGTCGGGCCATCTGTGATTGCTCCCTGGTCCTGGAGAGGAAGCTCGTCGATGGGGGGGGGGGGGGGGGGGGGGGGGGGGGGGGGGGATAAGTAATGGGGGGGGGGGGGCAGGGCTGGCAGTGCCGCTACAAGGGAAAACAGCCCATACAGCAGCAAGAAGAATGAGGGTTAGACACCAGGAATGCAGAGCTAGAGTTCCTGAGGAGCTGTGGACAAGCCTGTTGAAGGGTCAGGTAGGAAGTTCTGTGGCCAGTATTTTGTGCCTGATGGAAGTAGGAGAAGATGAAATTGACCAAATAAGTAGTATGAGGGAACCAAATGAGCATCAGGGAGGCCTTGGATGCGAGCTAACGGCACTCCGGGTGCGAGCGTGGACTTGAGGCGGCGCCACTTGGACAGATGGCTGAGCAGGCCTCACGCATTAGCCAGGAGTTGGATGGGCCGACGGTTCTGTCCTAAACTTGGATTCATGGAGCTCCCACACGTGAGAGGGACTTGATCCCGGGGCCAGGGATGGCCTCCCAGAGCCCCTCCCCCTCCCAGCCTGTCATCCTCCCGGCAGAAGAGGAACCTTACTGACCACACTGGTTCCCTAACATTTCCTCAAGAATGTCCCTTGCCATTGGACAAATGTCAGCCAGAGCAGGAGCTCAGCTCTGCTAAATGCCATCGTGGTACGTCAGGTGGTCCTGGGAGTGGCAAGGAGAACGAGCAGGTTGTAGGCCAGGACTAGGAACCAAAAGTAAAGGACATGACCATTGGGGCGGCCAGGGCCACTAGATACTAACCGTTGAGAGTTGGGACTGAGGGTATGTATTCACGGTGTGAATGAGGAGTGTGAGCCTGAGGACCCTTGTAAGTGAAATGATAGGGCCCCTAATGGAAAGCACAGGGCTTCCGGATGGGGAAAGCTAGGAGCCAGTTTGGGGCATGTCATCCGGGGAGGAGCAGGATCTGCGATGGAGAAAGACAGGCAAGGGGGAGATGTGGGGCTAGAGGGAAGCTGTGCAGCTGGGAGAGGAGGCGGCTAGGAGAGGAGGCGGCTAGGAGAGGAGGCAGGATCACTAAAGGAGATGAGCTGACGTCCTCCAGGGCCCCATCATGGAGGCAGCCTGTTTGTTTGTTTGTTTGTTTGTTTGTTTGTTTGTGTTGCGGGGGGGAACGTTCGTGTCTGCTATATAGGAGCCAAGGGCTTGGAGGCTCAGCTCAGATCAGGACTTGCAACCCTGAGCTCCTGATCGGCTTAGGAGGCTGAGATTTGGCTTTGCCGACCATCTGCTTTACCTGAAGATTTTCAGCCGATGAGGCCCTAGGAGGTTCAAGCACCATCACGCCTCTGATCCTGGACTGGTGGTTTGGGGAGAGCGCTAACAGGTAAGGAGGCGCTGGGACACTGGGCAGGGATCTAGTCTTAGCGTTACTAACTCTAAGCACCAGGCTGGCTCTCCTGGTTTCCCTGGTGTTTTGATGGTGATAATCACAGAGTCAGAAATAAGAAGAAGAGCTGTTCCCTGGTTGTTATATGCAGTATGACAATGTTTCCCTGTGCATTATTGTCCTTTTTATTTGATATATATGAATGTTTTGCATGCATGGATGTACTATGCCTTATGCATGCCTGGTTCTCACATTGCTCAGGAGATGGCATTGGGTTCCCTGGAACTGGGGTTATGGATGGCTGTCAGCCACCAGGTGGGTGCTGGGAATCAAACCCTCGCCCTCTGCAAGGCCAGTAAGTTCTCTAAAACGCCGGGTCATCTCTCCAGCCACCTCATGCATTTTTATTAATTATTATTATTATCATCATTGGTGCTCACAATAATAGTGGGATGAGGGATGTAGAGCCGTGGCTAGAATGCTTGCCTAACGGCCTTGAAGCCCAGGTTCCCTCCCCAGGAGCACAGAGTCGGAGCTGTGGTGCCTGACTGCCTCCAAACCCCTTAACGCTGCGCACGCTGTCCCCTGTCAGGACCTAGACACAAAACATCCGCTCAGTCATTATACAGAGCACTCACTGTTTGTCCCAACTTTTCTACACTTAAACTCCGTTTTCCCTTCCTTTTCTGTTTCCTCCCTAGAGAGGTTCTTTGTCAAGGTCACCCCTATTGACCAGTCACTTCTCTTCCTTCGAAGCCTTTGTTCATGATAGAGTGAGAAATGGAGGGATACAGTGAGGGACCTTGATTGGGGTATCAGGCATTGAAGTGCTGATGGCTGTGGCATCCCATCAGGCCCCAGGTCTCCCTCTAGGGCAGGATGGCCCAGGATCTCAGTGAAAAAGAGCTGCTGAGGATGGAAGTGGAGCAGCTGAAGAAGGAAGTGAAGAACTCACGTGACCCGGTGAGCCTCCAGTCACTCTTCTTGGATTCTCTTTCTGTTGGAAGCTGAGGGGAGACGCTAGGCAGAGGACATATTGCTGGGTTGGGGTGGGATAGAGAAGAGAGTTGGGGTCCTCCTCATGTTCCTGGGCTCAGGGGAGAGACAGAACTGAAGGGAGCCCAGCGTGTCCCAGGCTGGGCTGACCTCGAGTCCCATAGGTGTTTGAGGGTCGGCTCCAGGAACTCACCCCCCTGCCTGCCTCTTTCTTCTCCCTTCTTCCTCGCTGACCTCTTCCCCACCCTGCCCATCTTATTTAGATTGCCAGGTCAGGGATTCTGAGAACCAGACAAGAGCTGTGACCATGTTTTATCATCTCGCAGATTTCCAAGACAGGGAAGGAAATCAAGGATTACGTAGAGGCCCAAGCAGGGACTGACCCTCTTCTCAAAGGCATCCCAGATGACAAGAATCCCTTCAAGGAGAAAGGCGCTTGTGTGATAAGCTGATGGTCCAGAGCACCCCCACCTTTCTCTGTCCCTCCTCAGCCAGACCCACGTGTGCCCGAATACCCAGGGACTAGTGCTTACCTCCTCTTCCACATAAAACAAATAAAGATACTGGAAAAGACAAACAAACAAAAACCCTGAGTCGATTCTCAATCCTGCTTTCCACCCTGTCCCCCACCTGTCTGCCTTTCCTCATGATAGGGAAACAATGGGTAGGGTGATACAGTGAGGAACTGTTAGCCAATGGGGCGCCTTCACTGGGGGTGTGGCCAGGAAGACCCAGAGGTTTACAGCTGAGCAGGTGGTCCATGGATGGCAGGTCAGCAAGAGCCTGCAATCCCCTGAGGCCTCAGAGGGAAGTCCTAGGCGGCATTTACTCCTAGAATGCCATCCCCCATCTTTTCTTCTCCTACCTTCAGCATCAGTGAGGCTGGGAAGAGGGCTCCCCTGCCCCATGCCCTATCTTGATATCCGCTTCCTAGTTATTTGGGTCACAGCGTGGGGGTTGGGAGCTCAGTTGGTAGAGTGCTTGCCTGGCATGCAGGAGACCTGGGGGGTTCCATCCCCAGAACCACATAAAGCTGGGTATGTTGCCCCTGTCCAAAGGGCCAGCCCTGGGGGACTAGAGGTAGGACGACCAGAAATTCAGGGCCGTGGTCATTCATTACATAAGAAGTTTGAGACCAGCCCAGGCTAAGTAAGATTCCGTCTCGATAAAATGAAACAAAATAAGAAGGAAAACCAAAAACTGCACTAGCTTTGATAGACCGAAAATGAGAGAGAGAGAGAGAGGTTTGTAGGGTCATGACTACGTGGTTTATGGCTTATTTAATGTATTAAGTGTCTATTGCGTGTTAGGCAGTACAGCCGGAAGCACGAGCAAGACTAGCTGGTTCTTATTTTTATGGAATCTGGTAGAGAAAACCTAAAAGAATCTGCTGTGAAGCCAATAGTCCATGGTCTGGGGGGAGTCAAGGGCTATGCAGAAGCACAGAGCAGATGCACCTTTAGGGCAGTAAATAAGGTCAAGGTGATCACCAACAAGAGGGCAGAGGGTACAGAGGGTGAAGCTCGGAGGAACAGCCAGGCAAAGCCTTGAAGGGATCACGGGCTCTGCGGCACACGACTTTAATTCCGGCACTGGGGAGTTAGAGAGGCAGGGGGATCTCTGTGAGTTCAAGGCCAGCCTGGTCTACAAAGCGAGTCCAGAACAGCCAAAGCTACACGGAGAAACCCTGACTGGCAAAAACAAAGTCTTATTTGTGACATCAGTGCTACATTCTCTTCATGAGCGGCTAGAGAGATGGTTCCGTGGTTAAGAGTGGGTTCTGCTCTTGCAGAGGACCCAGTCTGGTTCTCAGCACCCAGAGGAGGAGGCTCACAACCACTTGTAACTCCAGCTCCAGGAGATCGGTATATCTAAGCCTCCAAGGGTGAGCACACACGCACACATACATGTGCACATATACACAATTAAAAACAACACAGAATTAAAAATAAAACAATAAGTAAGTGTAAATAAAAAAAAAATTTAAAAATTGTTTTCATGACTCGGTCATAGTAACACGTGCCTGTACTCCCAAGACTAGAGAGACAGAGGGAGGAAGATCACAAATTCAAGTCAAGCATTCCAGGTTACCCTGAGCTACTCAAGAGAAACCCTGTCTTAAAAAAAAAAAGAAAGGAACTTTCTCCTTTTCTTCTCCTTTTTTTTTTTTTTCTTTTTTTTTTTTTTGTTATTTATTTTTATTTTTTTGTGCATCAGTGGCTTGCCTGCATGTATGTCCGTGTGAGGGTGTCCGATTCTGGGGCTACGGACAGCAGTGAGCTGCCGTGTGGGTGCTGGGATTTGAATTCAGGTCAGTGCTCTTAACCACTGAGCCAGCTCTCTAGCCCGGGAACTTCCTTCTTTACCTCAAAGGTAAATAGGAACAGAGATGGGTATTTAGGTAGCCAAGGGACCTGGCTCAGTTAATAGAGAGATCAGTCAGGTCCTGCCCGGGGCTGAGAATGTAATTGTGGGCACAGCTCTGAGGCTTTGTTAGCCAGGAAGAATCTGGAAGAATCATAGATGAACACACATGGTACAGAGTACTCCCTGACATATAAGAGGTTTGTTGGATGTTACAGGGACTCCTAGAAGGCCTACCTAATCCAGCTAAATGGGTACACTGAGTCCTGGGAGAGAGGACAGAAAAGGTCTCCAGATAGAAGTTATTCCAAGGAGGACTGAGTGCCAAAGGCTTATGCTCTGACTACCTGTGGGGTGACGCTCCTGGAACAAACAGGAGCACAGAAAGGAGAGGAAAAAGAACCACGGTTTGGTGTCTGGCATGATGGCATGTGATTCGAACACTGGGGAAATTGACATAGTTTGGGAGAACAGCTTAAGATACCTAGTGAGACTCTCAAAAAATATATATTCATAGATATATAGATATATATAGTCTTAGTCACTGTTCTATTGCTGTGAAGAGACACCATGACCAAGGCAACAGTTATAAAAGAAAGTATTTAATTGGGGGTTTGCTTGAAGTTTTCAGGGTTAGCCCATTATCAGCATGGTGGGGAGCGTGCATGGTACTTGAGCAGTGGCTAAGAACTTTACATCATGACAGCAGACAGAGAAATTTTGGGCCTGGTGTGGGCTTCTGAAACCTCAAAACCTTCCTCCAAAGAGGCCACACCTTCTAATCCTTCTAATCCTTTCAAACAGTTGTATCCTTTGGTGACTAAGCATTCACATATATGAGCCTATAAGACTATTCTCATTCAAACTTTTTGTTGTTGTTATTTTTGCTTTCTGTTGAGACAGGTTTCACTATGTAGTGCTAGATGGCCTCTCCCTTGCTATTTAGACCAAGCTGGCCTCAAGCTCACAGAGATCTAGCTACTACTAGCCTCTGCCTCCTGAGTGCTGAGCCTAAAGGTATACACCCTCACAACCCTGCTCAAACTTGAATTTAATGTTTTTGTTTTGTTTTAGATTTATTTGTTTCATGTAAAGGAGCATTTTGCTTGCACACCTGTATGTGTACCATGTGAATGTCTATTTCCTGCAGAGTGAGGTCAGAAGAGGGCACCGGATTCCCTGGAACCTGAGTCTCGGACAGTTGTGAGCCACCATATTGGTGCTGGGAACCAAACTGAGTCTTCCGTGACTGAAGCCAGTGCTTCATCTCTCCAGCCCCAAGAACTACACTTAAAATGGAACAGCAGTCAGGTCGGGACTGAATATCAAGAGGAAGTCCTTAGGATGCCCTCTGGAGGTGGACTGGAGGGTCAGAGGGTCTTGCTTGTTGGGCTATGCAGCTTTATCTGCTGATAGATCCATCCATCTCTCTATCTACTTCCTGGGTTGTTTTGTTTGTTTGTTTGTTTGTTTGTTTGTTTTTATTTTGTTTGCTCATTTGTGATAGAATCTCATACAGCACTCCAGGCTCTCCTTGAACTCAAGGCAACACTTCTGCCCCAACTCCCCAGTGCTCAGTGACAGACACGAGCCACCACACCTTGGGGAAATGTGTTCTTGACAAGATTGGAAGCAGAAAGCGATCGGAGAGGGAAGCGAGTGATTGCTTTCCGGGGAGAGATGACATAAACAGCAGCGGCCATTAGTAGGAATGGGGATGCCTTGAAGAGTTTCTTTGGGAAGTGAAGTTTACAGATCTTGGCTTCTGATGGGTGGGAAGGAGAGAGTGTGCTCACAAATGACAGCGCTGGGTTCTCGAGGGTGAGCTGAAGGAACTGACCCAGTAGACTGTGTATATTCAATATAGGGTGGTTTGCCAGATTGGCTGACAGAATGAGGGCTGGGCATTCTAGCGGTGCCCAGCTGTATGTTAGAGAGGCTGAGAATGTTGCAGCTCCCTGGTCTACGGAGCTGGGTGCCTCACGGTTGGAGGCTCTGTGGAGAGGCACCAGCATGCACTTAGTCCACCTGGGAAGGCTGAAGAGGCTGGAGTGCGGTGTCAGCAGAGGACGATACTGTCAGAAGGAAGAAGCTGTGGCAGGTGCCACCTCTTTTTCCTTCCTGGGCCACCATCTAGAAGGTATTAATTGAGAACATATCATCCCCCTCTCAGTTAATCCTCTCTGGAAACTCTCTCCCAGAAATACCTAAAGTTGTGTCTCCAAGGTGATTCTAAATCCCTCGAAGCTAACAGTTAGGACCAAACATCAGCAACCAAATGCCAGCACCGCCGAGCAAAGTGGCGCTCGCTTTTGGCCCAGCACTTGGGAGGTGGAAGCAGGCAGATTTCTGTGAGTTCGAGGCCAGCCTGGTCTACAAAGTGAGTTCCAGGACAGCCAGGGCAACACAGAGAAACCCTGTCTCGAAAAACAAGCAACAGAGCATGCGCTACCCTTGTTGAGGACTGAATTCCAGACCCCAGTACCTACATCAGGCAGTCACAACCACCCGCAGCTCCAGTTCCAGAGGAAAATGGCTATTTTAAAGAAGGGGGAAAGGCTGGAGAGATGGCGTTCTGGTTAAGAGTACTGCCCTGGCAGAGGACCCAAGTCCAGTTCCAGCACCCACACGGTGGCTCACAACTACTTGTAATTCAAGTTCCAGGAGATCTGATGTCCTTGGTAGCTAGGGTTTTGATCCTGGCAAGAAACTCTATCCCTTCTTCTTGACTGGGGTTCCAGTCAGAGAAGTTCTTTTGTTTTGTTTTGTCTTGTCTTGTTTTGTTTTCGGAGACAAGATTTCTCTCTGTAGACCAAGCTCGAACTCACAGAGAGCCTACGGCCTCTGCCTCCTCAGTGCTGGGACAAAAGGCGTGTGCCACCACACCCAGCTAGGGGCCATTTTTTAGCTGATCCTCACTCAGACTATCACAGGCCACATGCTCTCCGGAGACTGTGTTTTCCTAGCTACTCCAAGGTACAGTAAGAGTCACAGGATCCCCTGAGCCTCAAGCTCAGGCGTTGGCCCAACACTCTTTTCCATCTGAGGTTTGTCTGTTTGCTATGTTCTGCTGCGATATTCTCACTAGGTAGCCCAGGCTATGCTTGGAACACTAGATCCTCCTGCCCCCAGCTTCTCGAGTGTGTGTGCCTGATGTCAAGTGTACACACCAGATGAGTGTACGCTTTTCCCTCTACCACAAGGAATGTCAGCTCTCTGAG